GATTCGCCTACATGTTATGAATGTTGGCATACCATAAAGAATAAATTATGAACAGGTTAGTTTGTGCCTTCAACTCGTTGCCCATAGGAAGACATTACTTGGATATAACCTAATGGAATATCTTCACAACAGCTCCAAATGACACTAAACTCATATGGGTGAGTAGAACATAATTTAATAACGTAAAATCAAGGTGCCAATGTAAAAAAAAAAAACGGTGTTCCCCTTTAAGTAACTTCACCCAGTATTTATTTTAGTTCATATCATAAAGCCCACTAACTGAACAATGAGAATATGAAATCTGATCATTCCTCTGTCCACCAAAATAAGACATGACTGTTTTCACGTATAGTTGAGTGAAACTGTTTGTGCAGTAAACAATGCAGATATGAACTCTGTCAGGATTCTATCCTGCTGCACTGTTGTTCCTTTAGGACAGACGATCAGTCTAAAAACCACCCTTCAGACAGAAACAGGGAAATACAATAATAAAATTGTCTTTGTGACACAAGTATCTGAAGCATGAGACACTAGGTGCTATATATAAATATTTCTAATTTTGTTTTTAGAGTTCTGTGTGAAAATGTATCTGTAAAAAGAAAATTATAAGCATTGACAGGTTTGATACATATACACTGGTTGGAAATATCTGTCATAATTTATAGTAACATGCAAACAAAGTTAGACATTTTAAGGAATCCAGACAGAACTCTGGTTAGCCGGCTAATTTATAAAAGGTAAATTTTTATGATTGTTGTTCTTAAAAGAATCAGAATCAAAATTGATGGGAACTGGGTTCTAAACAGGGCTGCTCAGTGATGCACTGGGTAGCACTGCTGCCTTGAAGCAAGAGGGTTCCGGGTCTGAACCTTTCTGCATGGAGTTTGATTGTTCTTCCTGTGCATCTGTGGGTTCTCTCTGGGTACCCCGGCTTCCTCCCACAGTCCAAACACATGGCTGTTATGTTGATTGGCTTCTCTAAATTCCCCATGAGTGTGAGTTTTTATCTCTGTGTTGCCCTGTGATAGACTAGCGACCTGTCCAGGGTGTACTACGCCTCTCGCCCATAGATAGCTGGAGATGGGCACCAGCATCCCTCGCGATCCTGCTTGGGATAAGCGTGATGGAAATGGATGGGTTCAAAACAGAAACCATTGAAATTCAAACGATGCCCAACCCCATCTGTGTTTAAGGATTTATTGGGAGTGGCTAAAAGGCACTTCTCGTCACGCAGCTGAATTCTATCACACATATAATTTGTTCCCCAAGTGGTACAGTGGGAAATTCTTCTTGCTTGAATACATGCCGACCAGTGTTACTTAGTAACGCGTCACAGTAACTATCTTGCTTTTCCAGTAAATAGAGGTGTAACTGATTAGTTTGTAAAAGTCAATAACACATTACTGATTACAACACCTTAAATAGACCTGTTATTCGTAAATATCGTGTATAAATAAGGACTACAGTTTCCTGGTGTAAACATACGTAGCAGCTATGAGCAACATCAGTATGAAGACAGAGATGATGTCGTAGAGCCATTGATTCGACACCGTTTCTACGGTTAAACACTCACCGAAGACTAAAAATTTCTGTGATTTGTTCTCAATGTGCAGGAAAAAATATAAGACTTTAATAATCCTGAGAAGCTGTGATCTAAAGAAGCTCCATATAAGTAAAATCATTACTTTCTGAATGATTTTACTCACATGGTTTACGTTTTCTCACAAAAAAAATACTAGGATCATTCAGTCCAGCAGTTTTTTTTTTTTCTGGAATAGTGTAACCCCTGTATAATTTTATAGAAACGTATATGTTACATATACATTTTTTGTTAAATTGTTTAAAGGGCATTATTTTTCTTTTTTCGTTTTACAGCTAATTGAAGTGTTTTACTTTGCCAAAAAAAATGAATACCAAAAATTTTTATTTTTATTTTCTTCTAAACAAAATACTTCATCAAATCTATACACTCTTAATGCAACTCACTTGTCAAACCACAACCCAAATAGTGCAGATTAGTTTTCAATGTTTTCAGATGTGCAGATTTTCAATGTATTAATACATGAATTAATTGATAACAAACACCTTATGCTGCATAATTTAACCATTAGTTTTATTTAAAATTCAAATAACAAGAACGGTTTCCAAATTCTTCGACACTAGATCATAAAAAGTAACTACACAGTTACTTAGGCTTGTAACTAGTTACTTTCACTAAGCAGTAACCGAGTTACTAACTCAATTACTTTATTGGAGATCTATTAACAATAACTAGTTACTTTTTTAAGTAACTTGCCGAACACAGACCGACATGACCCCAGCATTTTAGATTAGGTGTTTCTTTATTACTGTTAAAGCCTAATTTTACATGCTTAGCTGTGTTTTTAAGCATTCAAATTTGGAAGGGTGACTCATAATAAGAAATTTCTGTGGTCTGAAACTCAGACAATATTAATTACTAACTTTTCACTTGGAAGGAAACTAGGCTTATGCATTACATAAATGCTGTTGTAACTTGCCTCATTCTAACTTGCATATGGCATATGATCAACGTAAATGTTTGAAAAAAAGCCACCACATTACATCATAACATTCGTCATTACATCTGAAAGGTGACGCACTGTGGACATGTTATCGATGAGAAGTATTAATACAAGTGGTCGGAAGTAGAGCTGAAAGCTGCAGCTTTCAGGTACAAATAGTGCTTTGCCATCATGTTTCATTGCAGATGTATTGCTTTTTTCTTTTTTTTCCCTCTCTCTCTTCACTAGTGTTTCAGGTGACAACAAACAGACACAGTCGGCACCCTAAACAGGATGTGGCTGCTAAGCAGGGGCCACCAGAGAGTAAGAATGAATTCAGCCTTTCCCTAAGTGAGGCCGTAGGGACGAGTAAAGCGGCTGAATGTCAGGATGTTTGTCTTTAATCTTGCAGGGTGTCATGACAATACTCCCTCTAGACCCCTGTGTAAGTGTGAGTTTGAACCAATGGCCTAATCAGTTACACAGGAAGGCCTGGAGAAGTGCACCTGGAAAGCTGAGATCTCAGACACAGAGAGGTCTTGTATGATGAAGCTGAAATAGGACATCACAAGCGTGCAGTGTCAGAGCGTATGCGTCAGCGGTGAGAGCTGACAGTGAGCTGTGTGATAGTTTAGGCAAACAATCTGAGTGACATGGTGAATGACAGCAGAGAGAGAAAAAAAAAGCCACAGTGGTTGCAGTGTGAAAAGCACAGACTTCCTGTTCAGATGCCATCACTTCCTCTCCTCATTACAGTGCTCTTTAAGTATGAATGGGGGGCTGGTGGTGGGACAACATACGTAAACAGTAAGCATCTGCGCATCTATACGAGAGCTTGGCGTGCTCAGCCCGACCTATCTATGAGGTGAGTTCTTCCTTTTCCCCTTTTCATTCTCAACGAGATAAGTCCCTTTAAAAAATTGGATGTCTATGACAACAAACTCATGCAAAATTAAACCTTAGGAAGTAACGATAGATAAAAGTCATATTATGACACATTAAATGTGAAATAAGCTCCTGAGGACCAAGACTGGTAAATGATGCACTCTTATCAGGTCCATTTTTGACAAGCGTTTTCATCACAAACCTCTGACCTATAAAACTGACGACTAGGATTTGCATAGGGCACAGATGGTGCGCATGTTATAGTTTTTCTTGACTGAAATTATTTGACTACATGTGGTCACAGCAGTGCACAAGAGTAAAGGTCTTTGTATTTTTAGTTTGTACCTTCTAGTAAGTTTTATCATGGCCAAAAGTAGCTTTAAAGAGATTGAACATCTCCATGATACAATTGCAGAATTTGGCACATTTTATTGGGGTTTTGTGTAAAGGAAGGACAAAGTGTTTCATAACTGAGATGTAAAATAAGAACACGAGGATGTCTTCCCCCCTATTTTTTTTTTTTAAAGAAAAAAATTTAATATTGTGCATTTGTATTTTGCTTCTTAATCTTTTTCACTCTATAATATATTGTGCAATAAGAAATTAGAAGGCAGCCCTTTAGTAAGTAGTGTTTTTTTCTTTTCTTGCACAGTCTGAGAACGGTTGTGCAGTTGCTCATGATTTGGATGGCCATTGTAAAAGGGCCATGGTCACATTTTATGACATAACTAAAATTAACACATACAAAGGTTTGTGAAAGATTGCGCGTGGTGCTGGTGCAATCTTATTTTTTCCTGTAATGTTAAAAAATAAAGCAATTAAGCGTATATTTGCAACAAACACAGCACTTGACTGAAGGTATGATACTGCTCATGTGCAGAGGTGGTTGCACAAGGAAGGAATGAACTAGGCTAGTTAGGACTTCAGTGTCATTTAGAAAATAATAAAGAAAAATCTAAGATCTAGCGTGATCTAAAAAAAAAAAGCTACATGACAAATAGTGCTCAGAACCTGGTAAAAGTGTTGGTGTTCACTGAAGCAGGATCAACAGCTGTGGAGGAATGTTGCTGGGAAGCTGATGGATGCTTTTCCCTTTAAGTAGGAAAAGCGAAGATTAATTTACACTAGTGTTCTTGTCGGATATTCCCCCATTAATTTCAGAGGCGGAAATCTGTACGCCAACCTAGGTCAAGCTGAGTTTGAGAATCGCCTGGCAGAGGTGGTGAGATAATACCATCTTTTCTATGACGGATCTTCTTAGAATTATAAGCACATTTTCCTCTTCACCTCCTCCTTATTTATCCGGAAACCTCCTCTTCCAATCTGCTGCTTCTTTTGTGGGTGTGACTTAAACAGTAGGTTCTATGAGTTTGGCAGCTGAGTGTCTCATGAAGTATGAATACTTGGAAACAAAATCAGCTTTTTTTTTTTTTGATCTTACCACCTAAAGAACAAGAACAAAGTATGTAACAGCTTTCAGTATATATCCAGCTGACCTGTGAAGGCCTTTGAGGACTGTTTTTGTTGAGAACGTTAGTGAAAAATTAGCATTATGAATCCCAAGAATTATAACAGATGGATAAAGTTTGGAACAGGTTAAAAACAGGTTTTGTTTAGAAAATTACATCTCAAGGTTTAAAGATACAATGGAGCAATATTTAGAGCAACAATGGAACAAAGATTTCTTTCTTTATTTAGTTTGTTCATATTGTACCCATTCACAACATATGGCACCTCAAAGCACTCTTTGACAATTTAATCAGATCATACAGTCAGACTGGTTAAAAGTGTTGTTATCTAAGGAAACCCAGCTGATTGTATCAAGTCATTGACTTAAACATGGTGTAAGTGAAAACCTTCAACCTAAACGGAC